GCAACGAATTGACCACCAGGTACCAGAGTAGAAATAGCAAACTTCAGCAAGCAGATCAAAATCTAATTCCCTTGCTGTGACTGGATGCTGCATAATACAACAGTCACTCTTTCGCTTCTGATCCAGCCTCTTTCGCTCAGTCAGAGACCTCTGCTGCAAAATACTTTCAGGCAAATGAATAAAAAACATGGCCAGGGCTGGAGAGAGGGCACACGTGGCTTGGAAGTGACTGGAAGTCACATCCTGCATCTTCCCTAGAGCTGATTTCTGGTAGTGGGAGAGGTGTCTGCCTTTCTGAGTCTTCAGATTTTATTTATAACATCCCAAGATCCTCAGGGGTCCCCAGATCTTCTGTCTCCTAGAGGCCCTCCAACACAGCCCTGTGCTGTAATGTGCAAGAGCCAGGACGATGAGCCAGGACCACGTTATGAAAAGCAGAATAGCCGTGCTTGGGGATGAGACGAAAACTCCGAGCTGTTGCGTGGCGTGTTTCTGTCAAGCCGCTCCTGTGTGGTAGATGCTTGGTACTGTGCTGCATGAAGCTGCTGGGCAGAGAAGCGCACTGCAGTGAAAGCTAACGCCAGCAGAGACGTTCACCACCCTGCTCCTGCTGGCCGCTGAAGGAGGCTGGGACCGCAGAGACGTTATCAGGAACAGCGAGTGCTCCTCCGAGTCATACAGGAGCTAGGAGTCCCAATGCTGTGTGAAATCGAGGAGCATGTTCCCCCTTCTGACTCCCGGTGTCACGCAGAGATGCATTTGTGTGTGCAACTCCCAGTGTGTCTCCCACTGAAGGAGTAGAGAATGAAGGTGGCAGGCAGGGACGGCACAGGGCTGTTAGCTGGATTTCTCCTAGAGGATATGCACAGAACATCTACTCTATTTACTACTGTATGCACGAATAACGAGGTCCCGCTGAAGGCTGAATTTTGCTTAACTAACTTACCTCTCACGTGTCCTGACCTTCCACCCTTACCAGTGTAGAAAGGTTTTGCTTTTGCTTGCTCAGAAGCTCAGAACCTCCAAATGATCCACAATGTCTTGAGCGTGTAATTATATTGAGCTAATCACTGTGATACCTAGGCACTTCCACCTTGCCGTGCTCTCAGTCACGTGCAGTCCCTGAACTAGGTTCAGTGGGGATACAATTCTGCTGAAGCTTCCATTTTCTGGAGCAGGTTTGGGCAGGGAAATGGTGGCGGGGAAGGGGTAGTGTTGGCTGATGCCTATCTGCTGGGAGGAAAAGCACTGGTGATCGGCTCTCACAAGAGCATCATACCTTCTAATCAGATAAAATGAGATGGCTGACTTGTGAGCAGCATTTGGGTCATGTGAAGGAGCAGCGACCCACACCTTTTCTATTTCACCTGCAACCCTTGTGCTCCTGCCTTTGAGCTTGCCCGCTTTCACAAGCAAGCAGAAATGGGTTTACTCACTAGGCAGATGAAAAGACTTCTAAGAAATATGTGGGTGCTATAGTAGATAGTGTTGTACTTCACTAAATAGAGCCCTTCCCTTTGAGTCAGCCCATGCTTTGGCGATCCAGCCTTTACAGGCGTATTTTTTTCTTTGGGCTAAATTATGAAAACCGTGAAGGATTTCTCAAGGTTCCAGTTAAATTGCAGTTTTTGCCATTCCAATCTGCTGTTCCATCTCTGCAGGCAAAAACAACTGCATTTTCCCTGCCACTCCTTCTGTGCTGTGAAATAGCTGTCATGCTCTACCCTAGAGTTAGTTGCATTGTTGCGGGGGAAGAAATGTTTTTTTCTGTCCATGCACGAAAGCGAATAGATAAATCTCTTGAGATGAAGAGGCAGTTATTTTGTCCTAAGGAGTGGGAAGTGGATGGAGGAAACAGAGAGGAGTCTACAGCGAGCTACAGCCTAAGAATCAGTGCAAGATATTTATTCCCTGCAGAGGCAAAAGAGAGCAGTCCCACAATTTTTCTTCTCCTAGGTCAGGAACACAGGAGTGACACCACAGTAACTCACTTCTTCCCTCTTGAGAGATGGCTGAAAGGCAGAAGTTTTAACTTATTATATTTAATAAGGAGGTGAGAGACAATAAAGCAACAAAATGAAACTTCTGCCCACAACACAGCAGAAGGGGGAAAGAGGTTAGGCAACTGCCCAAATGCCAAGTCTGAAAAGTGGAAAGCAGGGGTGAACTGGTGGCAAAGCACTTCCTCCACAGAGCTGGCCCTGAACATGACGGATTTATTCTCTCTTTGGTTGCCTACAAGTAACATGTCTCCTACTGAAGTGTTCTGCCGTGGCCAAAGAACTCTGCTCATTGCATTGCAGTGCAGAACTGCTGGGACTAGGAAGGAGGAAATGAAAGTGGTCTTGGCTCAGGGGTGAGATAGCCCTGCAGGGTGTAGTTCTTTGGGATCTCGTTTGTATACTTCAATATGTCCATCAGTAATTCACAGGGCCTTGCTTGAAAGGATGCTTGTGCTGGAGCACTCACCGGGTCAGGGGAGCGATGCACAGGGAGGGCTCCTTGGGCCTCGAGAGCTATCCTCTGGATAAGGAGGCAGCTGGAGGGTAGGGAGTGGAAAATCCTGGGAAAGCCGGTGAGGCAGCTATTTGCTTTTCCATTGCTCTATAAACTTTTGTAAAGGTGCAGTAAAGGTGTTAGCCACACTGCTCGTGGCATAGGAGGCCAGGTTCTCATTTGCACTGAGGCTGAGTAAAGGCCTGTGCACGTTTCTGCCATCCATGCAGCACGGTCGAGGGCAGAACAGCTGATCTGCAGCCCCAGGATGCTAATGAAGAGCTAGGAGGAGGGCTTCAGAGGGGTACGTGCTTTCCCTTCTCTTCTAGAGAGTGTCTCCTCTGTTCTTTGTTAAGTTGGAAAGATGAAAGCATAGAGGGCCAAAAAAAGGAGGTGAACAAGGAGCTCTGTAGGAAAGGTTCCTAAGTAAAGGAAAAATCCTCTCGCAGTCTGGTGAGAATAACACACGGTGCTCTAGTTACTGGGGGCACGGGTGAAGGGAGCTAGTGAGGGTGCCAGAAAAAGAGTGCAGCAGGCGTCATTGCATGGTGGTGATCTACTTTTAAGTGATACCAGAAAAACCTATTAAATATATAACCTCAGCGCCCAGAAAAATGTGTTAAGAGGTTTATTCGTGTAGGAAAAGCTTCATCTTATAAATATAGATAAGGGCTCCTTTTTTTGCCTTCTTCTTTTGGATTTCCTATACACAAAACATATTTGGACTGTAATTTCCCTTCTGGGAAGCTCTACCTAGTTATGTTGCTTTCTGTCTGGCAGGACTGCGAGGTCCATGCTGCAAATGGGACAGCTCAGTGTGATGAGTCCTTCCCAACACATATCCCACTACGTCCTGTTCGAAGCCCCATCCTGCAAAGCTTTATGCGTGTCCTGCCCTGCAAGAGGACTGGTGGTTTCACCAAGCAGAACCAGGACCACTGCGTGCTGAAGGTGTTGTTCTTTTCAGGATGTACCTGCTGTGGGGCTCCTATTGACTGACCTGCGAGGGAGGGAAAGATACACAAAACATGTCGTTGCGGATCCCACTTTTAGAGCTTTTCCTTCTCTTGCTCAACATTGGCACTTTATTTCAGGCCCTGCAGAGCACCTCAAGTGGGAATACTTTTGTGGAGATTAAATAAATGTGCTATCCTTCAGGTTGCCGCCTTCCTTCCTCAACAACTCTCTTGCCTCTTTGAGAGGGTAGAACAGGACCTGTCTCTGCTCCCCAGCCTCATCTACCAACAAAAGTCCAACCACTACCTTTATGCTGAACACAAGTCAACCTGTGCCTCATCCTTACATCCATCTTCTTTAGTCCAAATTAAAATTTAATTCTGTTTCTTTGTTGTTTCTTAGTGGTTGGCTACCAAAAGCTTAACCTCAGCAATGCTAACATCAGCTTGCTCTTGCCCACAGTCCTCCCCACTGATGCCTTTCATGATGTCCCCACACCACACGGCCTGCACCCAGGGCTACCACGAACCTGCTCCTTCCACCTTGCTGCCTTGCTGTCTTCCCATCCACACAACCTTGTCTTGTATCACATTGCTGATGTGTGGCTTTCCCTAGCCATCTGCACACTGAAACGCTTATCCAGACTCTTGACATCTCACAATGGCCAGCAACTTTTCCTCTGGCCTTGACAGCGGAGCTCTGAAGACATCCCTCAGAACGATGGCTGGACTGACTGGGTCACCCCCCTTGTGCTTGGCTTTTTGGCTCCCCCTTTTTTGCCTTGGCTTCCCACACCTTCACTGCCCTTCAGCTGTTCCTGGGCTGTGCTTTTCCAGGGGGCTTGGGAGGCATGGAGGCCTGTGTCAGCCTTCCCTTCACAGTTCTTCACACAAACGTTGTTGGATTGTACCTGTATGACCATTCTTGCCAGGGAGGACATCCACAATGCTCTGTTGTCATCCCTTTTCACATCTCCTCTAAGCTCCCGTTGTGTGTGTCTGCAAACAAATAAACTAAATAACTGCAAATGTAGACACTTGTGTGGCTTAATCATGATGACTAACGTTGCCTCATGGCTTCTTTATGCTCCTCTATCCACCTCCATCTGTCGTTGCTTTGCTTACTGATCGATAACTGTGAATCAGCATTTCTTCTTTCCTTCCCCGCCCCGCTTGCGTGGGGATCCCGGTCCATGCCTGTTGCTCCTAGGGGCTATGACAGCTTCCAGAATCACCCCATGCCCCAGAGGCAGGGTGGCTCATGTCCTGCTGGTACGAGAAAGCTTCGTGTTACGAATGTTAAGGGCCATCCCATCCCTGTGAGTTGTGAAATAACACGATGACACCATACTCGTGTTATAACGCCGTTGTATTTGACTGCTGAGCTGAAAGTGAAGCTAGCTTATAACCAGGTTGCAAAACTCCTGCCTTGCTCTTTCTCAGGCGCTGTTGCTGGTCTGTGACACACTTGCAAAAATCCCATCTCACTGTGTTTCTACCAGAGTGCTTTGGGTATTTGTTCTCCATGTTTTTTTTTGTCTTGTGAGTATGACGATATCAGACCTGGTCTTTCTTGGCTTTGTCAAGACGTCTCAGATGAAGTTTGTGTCTGTGTCCACACAGCCTGGTCCAAGTGCTAGCGCAGGTACTGGCAGCTCTTCCTCTTCTGGCAGGGGTGCTTGCCAGAAAATTCATGAAACACTTCAGTGAGCTTTACTTTTTGCTACTGGGGTGGAAACCAAGGCAGAGGTGCACAGTAGCTGGCTGATTATCCTAAAGCAAGCCAGGAGGAACGCTGAGGTTAGGGCGCAGGGGTCATGACGAGCTCTTCCCTGCTGCCGGGGTCAGCCACTGCCATTTCTGTTGTCCCCCCGGAGTGGGGGCTGGCACTGGGGGACAGGCAACAGATGACACTCCTTCCTCAGCTCTGGCTGCCCCATTGCAGCATCAGCTCCATCCTGAAACTCGTGTCTGCAGAGAAATTCAAACAATACTTGAGAGAAAACAACACAGAGCAAACGGCTCTTCTTGAAAAGCAGCTGGTGAACTACACTGGCTGGAGCGAGAAGCCTTTTTAGGGCAAGTGACAGTTCCCTTGGGAGGAAGGTTCTGCTACAGCTTCTCTGTCAAGGGAGGTTAGCAAGGGAATCTGGTGTATGTTTTACCAGAGCAACGTTTCAGCTTTTCAGTTTGCAGCCCTGCTCTAAGTCACTTTTCCACGTGGGCGGGATGATCTGGACGACTCCAGCGCTGCAGATGAAAACCTGTCCACACTGGCTGGCCAGGGTGATTTGGCTGATTCTGTGTCAAAGGCAGGATCCCCTGGGTGTTAGTGAGGGGGGCACGACCGGGTCCTGCCTTGGGGGAACCCACGAGCTCGGTTCTCTCCTGCTCTGTCCCTTGAGCTGTCTTCTCCATTGGGGTAAAATGGGAGGAAGATAATATCCCTAGGATTTGGTAACTGTCTGTACCAGGGCCAGCGTTAGTCACAGCAGTGGCTTTCAGGCAGCAAATTGCTGAGGACAGCAAATCAGCCTGGCAGTAAGCATCCTGCAAACCTGTTGCCTCTTCTCCCAGCTTCGCCCTGCGCCCGCCTTGTCTCCAGCGACGCAGCCGCTGCCAGGGCAGGAGGCAGAGCATGGCGAGGGCAGCAGCAGAAGGCTGCCTGGGCTCCCCCCACGGCCAGGGCCTCTGTGAAGAAGTGGCAGGGTGCAGGGGGGGATGACACCAAACAAGCTTTCAGCCACAGGAATTTATTTTTTCCTCATCCTTGAGCAGCAAATCATAGAATCGTAGAATCATTAAGGTTGGAAAAGACCTCTAAGACCATCTAGCCCAACCGTCAAGATCACATCACCCACGTGGTGGAGGAGCTTTTCTGAGCATGCAAGCGAACAGCATTGGGAAGTGAAGAATCTGCACAAAACCATGCCGGCTGTTGGCTTTTCATGGGCACGCTGTCAGCAGGCTCAGCCGAGGGGACTGAGGAAGCCCTGGAGCAGCATCGCCCCTTGATCTCCCCCAGGCATGATACCTCTGGGGGTGCAAGGTATTGTCAGGTGGGCAAGATGGAAAACGGTGAACCAGGGTCACCCCTGCTCCATACTGAAACTGATGGCTCCGTCCCCAACACAGTCTCTCGTTTCCAAAGTTTAAGGGGGTGATGGTAAAGAGCAGGGGGAGAAAGGTATTCCTGCTTCTCCAGAAACGGCTTTTGACTCCATTTCATTCCAGGGGTGTAGGTTCGCTTTTCCATCTGCAGGCCTGACTGCTCTGTTGTTGTAAAGGCAGCACAGGGATGCTCGGGCAAGCTCCTACCTACAGCTCACTGCAAGGAGAAGAGGCAGCGTTCACTCTGCCAGTGCACCAGTTTAAAACACCTGGCTGCAGCGCTAATGCACAAAACCTGTTGCCTCCCTCGGGAGACTTTGGGAGCTGAAAAGTCAGAGGCAATGAGTCATTTGCAGTGTAGTAGAGAAGCCCTTCGTTGCCTGCTCGTGTTGCAGGCAGGTATCGGGCTGCCTGTCTGTGCCGTGAGCTTTCAGCTGGGGTGGGAAGCGAGGTAGCAAAGCCTGCCGTGTTTGGGAACGGCGACCCCATGGGGGTGTGCTCCTCGGAGTGGGAGATGAAATGCTGAGGGAGAAAGAGAACAAGCTGGTGGAGGGGCTGAATAGGGGAGCAAGTCTTGTAATGTAACA